AGATTATCCTACAAAAATTCAAATTTTAAAGTTTTATTTTATAGATTGTATAAAATTATTCGATGCAAATACGATTAGCTACTTATGTATAAGCGTCACCGCAGCCAAACTGGCACCCCGCGAATCACGCCATTTTTTACTAAAATCTGATTGATTTTCTTTTCTTTTTTTTTCATATCAAACACGTTAGAGGCTTTGTTGTTTTGATATCATGGTGCGTATCACATGGCACTTATTTTCCTGCGGTGACGCAAATACGTAAGTACCTAATATTATTTTAATAAATTTTACTCTCACGTTCAGCAACAATTTGGCAACACCGATTTCCTATGTGTCGTACGCGCTGAATTTGCAGCTAAGTGCTTCGTTTCAGATAATTTCACCAATAGGTTATGATAATACGCAAGTACTTATTTATCATTTCTAGTATCACATGAGAAATTTTGTATAATTTTATAATATTTTTTATCCGTTTTAAAGTTTTCTCGGTATTTACGTATGATACCATTGATCCATTTCGACAAATCAAAAAACGTCGCCAAATGCAGCAAATAGTGGAAACCGTTCCAACTCATGTTCGAAAACAGTAATAATAACAATGACAGTATTTGGCGAATTTTTTTGACTTGGCAATGTCTTTTCGTTTGGCGAAATTCGTCGTCGGGATAATATGTTACTCTGCCATTTCCTTGCTCTCTTTCTATCTGTTGTTTAAATAACCTATAATTTTTAAATATTTAAAAAATTGCAAAAAAATGTATTTATTAATCGTCTGAAAAGTTCATTGCAAAAAAAGCTCTATTATTATTATTATTTATTTATTTATTTTTGATTTTTGGGAAAGAGAGAGAAATTTTTTTAGAGTTAATGTTAAGATTAATAATTCAAATTGGTTGAAATATAATTCCCCAAATGCATTTAAAAGTTTTAAAAAATATTTTGTAATAGGATTAGCAAGTTTGGCACATACGTATTATCGCAACCGTATTGGCAACATTATAAGAAACATAGCATATGGTTGCTAATTCAGTACGTACGACACTAGCGAAATCGGGATTGCCAACTTGGCAAGTTATCTTGAACGTTGGTATTGCGATAAAACATAAGTATCGCAAGTTTTTTTATTTTGTGAATAATTTTGATTTTTGTTTCGTATAATGTAGTGTTGATGAAATTTTTGAATTAATTAATTATTATATAGATTGCTCCTAATCTCTAAACATAAATTATAATATCTAGGGTAATTACGTAATATCGCAAGGGGTTGCCAATTTAGCGAGTTGTTATTAGAGTTGGCGATTGTTGCCAAAATACTTAAGTACCATACCTAGTTTAGACTCTAAGTATCGGAGATGCATGCATATCGTTCGAAATTTCAAATTATGTTTTCGGAATGTTTGATGTGTTATTAGTTACGAATTTCACTAGAAAAAAATCGAGATTTCACATTTAGCTTTATTACTTTAAGGTATCCGACTACGTTCGGAACCGTGATTTTGCAAAAGCGTATGAATGGATAATATTTATGATATTTAGTGTCACTTAGATTAGAAAATGTATATAAAATTGTTTTAAGAATAGCATTACAATAAAAAAATATTTAAGTACAATATTTTGACAAAAAAGGAACACAGAAAGACCCATTTTCAAAATATTCTCCTTTTGTCAAAAATGCTTCTATGATAATAATACTTCACCTGTATATAGCTCAGACCTCTATACAGAGACTCAACTAGAATTTTTAAAAAATACAACTTAGAAGTGAGTTTATCCATGTTTTACGACAACAGAGGGAAGAAATTTTAAGAAAAAAATGCCGATAATTATTTCAATGGGTTGTAACTCTGAAAATAATGTGAATTTTTCAAAACTCATTGTTGAGCCTCTGTACAGAGGTCTGAGCTATATACAGGCAGAATATTATTATAATAGAAGCATTTTTCACAAAAGGAGAACATTTTGAAAAAAAGGTTATTCCAAGTTAATTTTTTGCCGAAATATTGCGTTTAAAAAATTTTTTTTGTCAAAATGTCCTTAAAACATTTTTATACATGTATATTTATCTAAGTGACACTAAATACTATGAAAATTATCCATTTATGTGCTTTTTTTAAATCACGGTTCCGAACGTAGTCGGATACCTTAAAAGAATTATTCTTGTCATAAAATATTATAGGCAATGTTAAATGTTCACGTAAGGTTAAGAAAAATATAAACAAACAAATGTAATATTTTTGTGAGACTTGAGACTTTCCAATTTTAAGAGAAAAATAAAATATTACTGTGATGAAAAGGAAAAAATACAAGGAAGAACTGATTGTGTAAGATAAAATTATTTTTATATCCCATAAGAAATGAAACCTGTTTATTTATAATTCCAAACCGCCTCTTTTATTAAGTTTTTATTATAATAACATTTTCCGATTTTATTTTTCTTCCATCAAGGCTTATTTAGTTCGAGATCACCGTTTTCATCAATGATACTGAAAAAATATTTTCTTAAACTGATTGGTATATCTTAGCTTCAATTTTAAGTTAATTAATAAATTCTGTTTTTGAAGTTAATTAAAACTATATTTTACAATGCAATTATATCACTCAATTGTATATTTGCGCTGAGAATTTTCTTATAAAAACTTAATTTCAAAAAAAGAAGTAATATTTTTTGGTGAAAAATTTAAATCAAGGAAAAAAATTTGTTTGCTCTAATGCATCAAGATCCATAACATTTTGAGAAGAGTGAAATTTTCTGTCGTTACAAAACTCATTCATTTAAGTAAACTCATATGTTAAGCTTAAAAAAAGAATTTTACAAAAAAAATGAATGAAGACAAAATGAGTTAATGTTTCTTAATACCGCTGCCATAATAAACATTTCGATTACTATTATAAATTATACATTAGGGAATCTTATAACTTCTGTGTAAATCCGGGTGTTTATTCAACTTGAAATGTGAATTATATTAAATACAATTCAAATGTTAAAAATACTCTTTAAAATTTAATTCTACAGATCTTTAGAGAATTTATTTTAAAAATAACATTTACGTTTTCATGCAAAACATAATTTAAAATCCGCCGAGAGCTTAAATTAAAATTTATTCAAACATCAAAATTTGATAGCGAGAGCCGCCACTGGATGGTGCTACCTTAAAATGGCTCTCACACTTATAGTGACTTGCCTTGTCTACAAAGGCTTAGTTGCAAATATGCAGCCCATTAGAAAAAAGTAATACATATATTCTTTTTTTTAATTTATTGTAATAATTCCAAAATATTATTTAATAATTTATGAATTTAATTTTAATCTATAAAATAAACAAATAAAAATTCTTTTGAAGATTTTTCAAATATTTGGATATTTCCAAGATTTTTATTCATTTAAAAAGAAAACGTTAAAAATACGTCTGCATAATCTTACTGAAGATTACATAAAAATTATTTTTAAAAATAATAAAAGTGAGAAAATACACGGTAAATTAGTCTGTTTGACATCAGGTAACTGTGAATACACGCTGATAAATACCATTTAATTTGATTATATTCTTTATAAAAAACGCTTAAAAGATTAAACATTTTAAAATCAAATATATTTCTTAATCAAGAATAATATCAAGTAGTTTTTTTTTAACTTAATGTCGTTGTAATCATACTATATTTAATGTGCCAGCGCGCATTAAAAAAAGTACATGATATGTTTGATTTAAAAAAAATATAGGCATTCATATTCTCGACAGCACTCCTCAAAAAAATGTGTTGTTCTTAATCTTCAACTATTCATTAGCAAATCTGTCACGAAATCACTTCCTCTGATTAGTTCTGAGTTATTTTTTTAAGCTTCCCGTGTGCAATTAATGTCTCGTACATATAAACAGCAAAATAAGAACCGTAATCTATGTAACTACGAGTCCTACTACAGAATACTTCAGATGAGAAAAAAGAAATGCAGTGGATATATTGAATGACAATGGTTTAATTGTATATTGATGACATCAACATGGAAGAATCAAGGTAGATGGATACATAGAAAGTGCATTGAAAAAAATAACAGATACATATATAATTAAACTGATACATACAATAAGCAACTAGACACGCACAAAATACAGAATTTTTTCAGGCATCATTATCTTTGTTTAATTAATGGTATTGCTTTACAGATAATATTATTTGCTTTCAGATCATAAACATGTGGATTTAAGATATTCGAACACAATATTTATCAAAATTACTTACTTATTTATTGAAAAACATAAGAACATACACTTGTGCGTATTTTAAACGAATAAAGCTAATTGTACAGAAGGTCATTCGCACTTTATGGAAACGATTTTGGTAGTTAAATTTTACCTATAAATCAGTGTTTCTCAAACTATGGGGCACACCCCCTAGGGGCGTGATAACTCTACAAGGGGGCTATTGAAAAGTTAAAAACAAAAGATCATTTTTTAATAACAAAAATTACTGAAAAAAGGAAACAAAAACATTCTGACATAATAATAAATAAAATACACATTTACACTGATATAATACACTTATAAATATATCTATTCTGCACCATGTATTTTATAATTAATTTAACAATACCACGTTAAGAACTCGTTTAATAATTACTAGTGAACCCATTGGCTTGTCGTATATAAATTTGTATACAGATGCTAACACTTATCTTAATAATTTGTACTGTTTATAATTAATCCCTCAAAACTGCTGATTAAATTGTACGCAATTAGCTCCTCCCGAAAGCCACCGCTTACGTAAGCACGTATATGTGACGTATTGGGGAGGGGAGACAAAAAAGGAATAAAACTAAGTGAAACCTCTAAACTAAGTAAATCCTTCGCAAACACTGTAAAAACCCTTTTATTGCATTCAAAAGCCTTCCGAATAATTTTATGGATAGCAGTGCACAGAAAAGATCGTACTGCAGAAAGACGTATATATACGTCCGGGGCAATTCACTTTTGGCTGAGCGAGACGTTTATATACGCCAGTGACACTTAAGAGGCGTTCAGCCGTTCTCCCACGGGATGGTAGCTTCGCGCCACCGGCGGCCCCACCGAGCGCAGTACCAAATGTCCCAACCTACGGTTCCTCTCGTACTGGGCAAGTTTTCCCGTAGCCACGACCCGTCTTCACCAGGGTAAAACTAACCTATCTCACGACGGTCTAAACCCAGCTCACGTTCCCTGTTAGTGGGTGAACAATCCAACGCTTTGCGAATTCTGCTTCGCAATGATATATAGGAAGAGCCAACATCGAAAAATTAATAAGCGACGTCGATATGAACTCTCAGCCGCCACGAGCCAGTTATCCCTCCGGTAACTTTTCCGACACCTCTCCCGTGAGACTCTCACATCTCTCGGTACCTATATAGGTCCGAGAATTAAAAGAAAGGATCGATGGGCCCCTGTTTCCAGGTCCCCTTCCCTGCTGAAGAACGGGATCGAGCCGGCTTTTGCCCCTTTGCTCCACGCCGGGTTTCCGTCCCGACTGAGCCGGCCTTGGGACACCTGCGTTGCCATTTGACAGATGTTCCGCCCCAGACAAACTGCCTGCCTGACGCTGTCTTCGGAGTTCCTCGTCCGTCGACTCGGTGTCGAAGACTTAAAGCACATACGTTCGTCCCTCGATGAGGGACGATTAGGAACATCACCGAATAAGTCCCAAGGCGATCAAAGTAGTGGTATTTCACAATATTTCGTCAATAAGGACTCCCACCTAGACTACGCCAATAATGCCTTAGAACAAAGTCAGACTAGAGTCAAGCTCGAAAGGGTCTTCTTTCCCCAGTGAATTGGCCAAGTCCGTTCCCTTGGCTGCGGTTTCGCTAGATAGTAGATAGGGACAGTGGGAATCTCGTTAATCCATTCATGCGCGTCACTAATTAGATGACGAGGCGTTTGGCTACCTTAAGAGAGTCATAGTTACTCCCGCCGTTTACCCGCGCTTCGTTGAATTTCTTCACTTTGACATTCAGAGCACTGGGCAGAAATCACATTGAGTCTTATTGTAGCTTTAGTGTCAAAGTACAGTATTATTGAATTCAATTTATTGTTATTGTATGAAGGGGGGGCGATGAAAATTATGACTGAATATTCGGTCGCAAGTATTGAAAGTTTGAAAAGCACTGCTATAAATACGTACCGTACTTTTTGGGGTGATTTATGGGGGTGTACTTTACGCCACTGCATATAAGGCTGGAATTTTTTCATCAAATATTTGTTCTAAAATATTCTACAGATAGTAGAGTAAATTAATTTTGGCTTTACTTGAGATTGTAACAAAATCTTGCGACTCTCATGAATCCCTTTGGGAACTTCTCTACTCTAATGAAGACATTTCGTACGTTCATTCCCATCAGTTGAGCAATAGAAAATTAATCTTCTTTTATTACAGTCACTTAAATATAGCCAAGTCTCAAGGAGTGCTACCACAAATTTCCCCTTTTCAGCAACTAGGTGTTTTTCATATAATTTTCAACACTTTGTCTTTCTTTCAACAATATCTTTTGGCAAAAGTAGATTAATTTTAGGTTTAAATATCTTTTTTTAATTTTAAATTTTCAGGAATGATTTTACTTATAATACTGGAAAGAATTCCTTGTGTTTCTAAGCAATGAATCTTTGAGAATCGGCGGATTTTCTTTTAGTATCAGAAACTTTACTTTGCATGCATTCAAACAGTCTTAGGGTGAGGTTTCATCGTCATGTTTTCTTTTTTACTTTCACAACTTGACGTTTTTCATTTTTCAAAATTATTATATTATAAATCACCTTTTTTTTAGTATAATAACCGAGATTTTCTTACATCGCTTTATAATTCTCTTCGGAAAGAGCAAATATGTACCGTAGAGCCATTTACTTATTTTAGGAGCCATTTTCAAAATAAATCATTCATTTTACATTCGAATCAAAAGAAATCAATGACAGACAATTATTCTTAAATTGTTAAACTTTTTTTCTAGAAAATACAAACAAGAAAATAAATTATAAAATCGTTTCCGTAAAGTGCGAACGACCTTCTGTAATCCTGTAATGCGTAATTTAGCTCTTTTTTCTATTGCTTCTAATTAATTCAGTAATTAATTCTTTTAATATGATTTAATTTTATTTTATGGATTCTACTTCTTCCTAATAATATACCTCCTGTTCCTTTCGCGAAGTTATTTATTCAAACATACAAAGAGAGATGAAGTGTGAGCCACATTTTCTTGTTTTGTATGTAACGGCATTCTCAAATCCATCATAAAAAACACACAAGTAATATAAAAAGAAATTAAGTCAATTCCTACTTAGACCCACAAAGAAAAATTTTACTTTACCTACTTTTTATTAAATAGTTACAATTAATATAAATATGTATATACATATGGCAGAATTACAACATTAAGTGGTAATTAATTTTTATTAATTATCCAAAGCAATCGTCTATATAAATTTCAGTTTAACTGAATACTTTAACACGTGAGAAAAAAACCTTTTCAACTTTAGACTCTAGCCAAAAGAGTCGCTGTCGCTAAAAATGATGCCAACGTGGTTGTATTGGTAATTCTTTAAATAATTAGTTTTAATCAATTAATTTTTATTAATTATTATTATATTATTGTATTGTCATCTAAAATAATCCTATATATAAAATTTCATCTCAATTGAGCGCTTTAAAATGTATTTTATTAACGATTGAAAATTCCACCAAGATAAACAAATAAATAAACAAACAAGCAAATAAAATATGTATAGAGATCTTGAGCTAATAGTAGGAATTGAAAAAGAGAGTAATGTTTTGAAAAAAAAGTATGAGTTATATTTTTTACTATGAGGAAAATAGCTTGTTAATATTGTGGCGGACTTGGAATCCACTTGGAATTTGTGTGTGCATTGAATCTAAATTTAGAATAGTTTGGAAGTTCCTGAATTACTTTAATTACGAACTTGAATTTACGTTTCTTTCCTGTTAATACTAACTAGAGCGTCAGTTGGTGTCCATTGGACACCGGAGTCTGTTTAGTTTGTCATCCGTTCCGCATTTTCGCCAGGAATTTGAAACTTTTTCGTAACTTGTAGTCATTTTCCAAAGTGATTACACAGAAAAAGTTCTGTGGCTCTAGGTTAATTAGGAGATATCTTAAAATTAAATATACCTCGAGCGTCCGCTGGTGTCGTTTCGACACCAAGGCAATTTATCAGTATAAATAGCTATCTTTCAGTAAAAGATAGGTCACGCAATGCTCTTAAAATACCATCTTTTAAATCGCGCATCCAAAAGTTAACCAAAAATTTCTTTAACTCACTAAATAGCTCTGAAAATATTAATATGCAAAATTTAGAAAACTATACTGCTCGCACTAAGAGGAAGCGACCCAGGAGTATTCTCCTGGACTCGTATAATCTCTCTCTCTCCTCCCTAGCATCTAAATTATTTCTAAATATCTTTTCTAAATCTTGTGTTTCACTTACTTTAAAAATTTTAAATCTCCTCTCATGGCCGAGTGCGCTAAGCGCTCGCCATACTTAAGATTAAACTGCAGCAACTCCGGGAGCGGTCAATGTGCGCAGGAGGGTGACCGCCTCGCAAACCGCCCGGCTGTCTTCTTTCCTATCTGATATTTTTTCGCCCCTACTGGACATCCGTCAATACACCACTCACACTCACCCCCCACATCGGCAGCCATTTTCCCTGAGCCATTATCCTCACTTTTCAACAGCCAATAGGAAAACTCTCTCTTCCCCTCAGATTCGTCACTGCAAATTTTTCGAGATGTCAAGGTCCATGCCTCGAAGCCCCGCCTACTGGCCTGCCACCGCTCGTCCAATAGCAAAGATCTACTACCAAACATGAAAACTCTACGATCAGCCATGCCATTAAAGAACGTTTTTGCCAGATACGGGATTAAGGGTTCCTCGAACCCAAATGCCCGAATAAATTCCCGCAGAAAAGGTAGTTCACTTAGTAGATAGCAGAAGTAAAACAAATTTCAGGAAGTAATATCGCACATTTATTTGACCTTGAATACAGTGTTATTGAGTTCACAGCGGAAATGAGTCAGTTATACTAAAATCGTTTGTGTCTAAGTGTTTCCTTACATAGTATTTGTTTATCTGCTCATAAAAAATTTTTCATTCGATTTTCGTATCTTGTGCAGAGCGGACACTCTGAAACGAAGACTCACAGAAAAGGTTTATAAGCCCTGATGAAATTTCTGATTAGTTGCGAGAGTTTTCTGAGAACAAATCGAATGGTGGTTAGCTGAATTGCTCCAATTTATATTCCGTTGAAGACATAAGATTCAATGAAAGTGACTGCAAAGAATTTGAAGAAAATGCAGATGTAATTGATAATATTCCAGTAAACCCTGATATATATGTCTGTAGGGATGACACAGAATGGATACAGCATAATAGTAATGTACCGGGCAGGTTTGCGACAAAGCAGTGACCCAACATAATTCGCGTAACATAATGTCAACGTCAGATTTTATGATCCAAAGAGTCATAATATATGATAATTTCATAGAATAATATTAAAAAGTCTTAAAACTATGCCCTACTGAGCAGTACTCCTGCAATTATTTAGTTTTATTACAACTATTTTATTTCGAGGAGTCGAAGCAACACCGGTGGATGTTTAAGAGTAATTGAAATCCCGGACGTTTTAGTGTTAAGTTAATAATTATTTTGCTCATTAGAGGTTGCCACTTTATATATAAAAACTCTTAAAAGGAGAGACTAGAAATTAAATAATTAAATGAAATCCAATTAATTTAAGATAATTAAAGTAACTGGTTAAAATATTTTTTTCATGGTTTTGAACAGATTCTCCTCTGGTCTTTTCAATTCTTTTCATGAATTGTTTGATTTGAGAACCTCTTTCTGTCAAGAAACCATGAAACACTCGAATGAAGATTACTGTTTTAAGCCAAGAGAATCGAGTTCGGATAGTAACAAGATGTTGATAGTGTTAATATGAGTTATATCTGTGTAAATAGCTTCTTTTTTTTTGATAATCAACGAATTGAAGCATGGGACTGAAAGGCCTTAACGTTAGTTTCAAGATTGGAAATCCCATGTGTGCCAGCATGTCTTCATATATTTACGATCATTCGATTATTATTATTATTATTATTATTATTTAAGTCTATCTCATTCTCATTAGTTATTTGCAACTATATTTAATTTTGAACGGACTAAAATGAACGTTGATGATATTTAAGTACGTCTGCTTTTTCAATTCCTATTATTAGCTCACATTCTCTTTATATTTATTTATTTATCTTGGTGGGGAATTTTCAATCAGTAATAAAATACATTTTAAAGCACTCAGATGAGCAGAAATTTTATATATATGATTGTTTTGGATGGCAATACAGTAATTTATTTATAATTAATAAAAATTAATTGATTAAAACTAATTATTTAAAAAGTTACAAATACAGCCATGTTGGCATTATTTTTGGCGACTTGTGTCAAAACTTTAAAAGGGTATTTTTTCTCACGTTTTAAAGCATTCGGTTGAACCGAAATTTTATATACACGGTTGTTTTGGATGACAATACGATACTTTAATGATAATTAATAAAAATTAGTTACCACTTAATGTTGCGATTCTGTCATATGTATGTACATATTTATATCAATTATAACTATTTAATAAAAAGTAGCTAAATTTTTTTTTTTTGCTTTGTTGATCTAAATAGGAATTAACTTTAAAATTTTTTTTTTTATGTTACATGTTTTGAATGCTTCACACACTAATACGTACTTAGATTCATCCCAATTTGGTTTGTGTAAGGGTTTGCCATTTGAATTTGGCGCTATTTTTTTAAAATAAAATTAGGGATAAAATAGAAATATTTTTTTTCATACTCTATGTAATTTGATGTATTTTTTTCTGTTAGTATTATTTAAAATTCTTATTAAATTAATAAATATTTGTTTTATCTAAACGTTTTACTTTTTAAGAGAAATATTTATATTGAAAACATTGGATGGCTATGATGTTTCAAAT